CAGGGTGAAGGGGATTGGTAAGGAAGAAGGGAGCTTATACATATTCAGAAATGATTCTAGCATGAAGGACAGATGTGAAGCTCAAAATCCTCAAAGAATGGTTGCAGAAGTATCATTGCAAGACTGTGAGTTGTGGCATAGAAGGCTTGGACATCCATCAAACCAAGTACTACATGGTTTAAATCTGTTACATGATAAAAACACTGATTTGCTTACTAGTTGTTCAGTCTGTCCATTAGCTAAGCAAACTAGGAGTTCATTTCCTATCAGTGTTTCAAAAACCTCTAAGTGCTTTGAACTTGTACACATGGATCTTTGGGGACCATACAAGGTTCCCACATTTGATAAGAAATACTACTTTCTTACAGTTGTTGATGATTACAGCAGATATACTTGGATACATTTGTTACAGCTCAAGTCTGAAACTATAGTAGCTATAAGGAATTTCTTTACTTTGATAAAGAATCAATTTGGATGTATCATCAAGATAGTAAGGTCAGACAATGGAACAGAGTTCTTCAACTCTCAATGCAAAGAATTGTTTACAAGCCTGGGCATTATACATCAAAGTAGCTGTCCTCACACACCACAACAAAATGGTGTAGTGGAGAGGAAGCATAGACACATATTGAATGTAGCAAGAGCCATCAGATTTCAGTCTTGTATGCCACTTAGATTCTGGGGAATTTGTGTTCAAGCAGCTGTATATTTGATTAAAAGATTACCATCATTCAATCTCCATAACAAAAGTCCTTATGAAATGATGTTCTCTAAGCCTCCTAATATCAGTAATTTAAGAGTTATGGGCTGTCTTGGTTATGCTTCTGCTATTCTTAGAATTGATAAGTTTTCAGAGAGGGCAAAACCTGTGATCATGATGGGATATTCAGAAACTCAAAAAGGTTATTTGTTAATGGATTTACAGACTAGAAGGGTTTCTAGTCAATAGAGATGTGGTGTTTCAAGAACACATTTTTCCTTTTGCCACTTCAAAATTCTCACAAAAACCTGTCAAAGACTTGTTACATGATAGCTTTGAAGAAGAAACTGATTCTGAAGAGACAACTTCTGATGATTGTGTATTAGCAGGCACACAGGTTTCCACTAACTTGAATGATGTTCCTAGTGAAGTGTTGCATATTCAGAATGAAGAGATGGTAGTTTCAGAGTCCACTATTGATTCAACTTCAGCTAGAAAGTCATCTAGACACACTAAACCTCCTATTTGGATGAAGGATTATATGACTACTGCTATTGGACAGAATAATAAGTATTTTTTGGCAAATCATCTTAGTTATGATCATATGTCCTCAAAGTATCATAGCTATCTAGCCAATTTCTCAGATTCAGTAGAGCCTCATACATTTGGTCAAGCTAGTAAAGATCCAAGATGGATTGAGGCCATGAAGTTGGAAATTCAAGCCCTTGAAGATAACAAGACTTGGTTAGTGGTTGATTTACCTTTAGGTAAACATACTGTTGGTTCTAAATGGATTTACAAGATCAAATACAAGGCTGATGGAAACATAGAAAGATTTAAAGCTAGACTTGTAGCTAAGGGTTATAGTCAACAAGAAGGATTGGATTATCATGACACATTTTCACCAGTAGCAAAAATGGTGACTGTTAGATGTGTCATTGTAGTGGCTGTTTCAAAAGGGTGGTCTCTTTATCAAATGGATGTGTACAATGCCTTCTTACAAGGAGATTTGGATGAGGAGGTATATATGGAAATGCCTGATGGTTTCAGAACTCAAGGATCGACCAAAGTCTGTAAATTGCTCAAATCTTTGTATGGACTTAAGCAAGCATCTAGACAATGGAACATCAAATTGACAAACACATTGTTATCTGCAGGCTTCATCCAAAGCTCTTATGATTACTCATTGTTCACTTTGAAGAAGCCAGAGGGGATGGTTATTGTCCTAATCTATGTAGATGACTTACTCATTACTAAGTGACAATGAGTGATTAATTAGAGAAGCAAAAGAAGCATTGCATCAGAAGTTTAAAATCAAAGATTTAGGACAACTCAAATATTTCTTAGGAATTGAGGTGCTGAGGTCCAAAACAGGTGTCATTTTGAATCAAAGGAAATACATATTGGAGCTGATTTCTGACACAGGATTGAGTGGTGCAAAGCCTGCAAATACACCTTTAGAATCTAATTTGAGGTTGACATCAATGGAGTTTGATCAAACTGCTGGATCACAAAAAGATGAGGTGCTAACAAATAATTCAGCTTATCAAAGATTAGTGGGGAAATTGACGTATGCTACTATCACAAGACCTGACATTAGTTATGCAGTGCAAACACTAAGTCAATTCATGCAACATCCAAAAAGATCTCATTGGGAAGCAGCTATTAGGGTGGAGAGATATATAAAAGGAACAGTTGGTCAGGGCATATGGCTAAAGGCTCAATCAGCCACAACATTAACATGTTGGTGTGATTCAGACTGAGCTGCATGTCCTAACACTAGGAGGTCAATAACAGGCTACATAGTAAAGTTTGGAGATTCTTTAGTATCCTGGAAGTCCAAGAAATAGCAGACAGTGTCTAGAAGTTCAGCTGAAGCTGAATACAGAAGCATGGCTTCAGCAGTGGCAGAAGTAACATGGTTGATAGGCTTATTCAATGAGCTCAATGTGTTAATACAAAGGCCAATAAAAGTATGGAGTGATAGCAAATCTTCTATTCAATTAGCTGCGAATCCTGTGTTTCATGAAAGAACCAAGCACATCGAGATAGATTGCCATTTTATTAGAGATAAAGTTAAGACTGGGTTGATTCAAACAGAGTATGTACACACACACCAACAAGTTGTTGATCTGTTAACCAAAGGATTGAGTCAAGCTCAACATGTTCATCTGTTAGGCAAGCTAGGTGTGCTCAACATCTTGCACCCCTCAGCTGAGGGGGAGTGTTAACTTTCCCATTTTCAGTTAATTCAGTTAGTTTGTTAGCATGTTCACGTGGTTAGTTAGGATTGCATTCTGTTAGTTAGTGTGTGTGTATGTGTATATGTGTGGAAAGTGTGAGTGGAAGTTAGAGGTTGTTACTGCATTTCTGTGTATATATACATCATTTGCAGCATCTGTATTGAATGAGTTTTATAAGAACAACATTCCTTCTTCTTCAATTCTGCTTCTTCTTCAATTCGACTTGTTCTTAGAAGCATCAATGAAGCAATTTCAAGCTTCCAGATAGAGTTTTTTCATATAGATATTTTCGTCTCAAATTTTTAGAAATACTCATTGACAGTAGTTTTTGTGTTTTTGCATTAATAATGAGGCGAATTTATTAATTGGGTGTGTGTAATTAGTAATAGGTGGGTAGTATATTGATTTATAAATTATATTAATAAGTTAAATTATAGCTAATAGTTGAGCACCACATATTTAAATAGTTTAAATTTAAAACTGTTAAATAAGTGGTAATTTTGAACTAAAATATGGATGAAAAGAGTATTTTGGAGCTAATAGATTGATGAATGATAGTTTTATACCATTATAATACTTAAAGATATTTTAGACTCTTTTCCGTTTTTAGTAAGAACAATATGTAAATATAAGCAGAGGAGTTATGTGTATAATATTTATTTTGTAATCAAATTAATTTAAATTTGCTTCAAAAAATCCAATATTAAAAATAAACATCTTAACTATTAAACTTAAAAAGACCGACACAACTTTTTAATAATCAAAATCATGAAAAATCTATTACATTTTAGAAAGAAAATACTAATCTCGAACAAGCTATTCAAAGAACAATTTGTAAAATTCATAATTAAATCTATTAAATTTTGATGTGCACATGTTAAAACCTTCAAAATCGCCTAGTATAAATTAGTGGGAGTAATGCCTAGGTACTAACTAGTACGCCAAACAAGTAAATACAAAATAAACCATTTAAATTATTTTCTCCTTCAATAATTAAAAAAAAATTGTGAAATGTAACATAAAATAATTTCATTTATAAAACGTTTTTCATATGCTTCATTATTAAAAATTCAAAATTCATGCTAGATTAAAAATGAATGAATATTTACGGATCGATAATTTTCATCTCCAACTATAATATGGAACCGCCAAAGAGACATCTTTAAGTAGCTTTTTTTTTCCTCGCTTGTAGCTTTAGGACCAGTGGGTTGTTGTTTTCATCATCTGTCTAAAGACTCTTCTTTCTCATTTTTGCCTTTACTTTTTCGTCTCCGCTTTTTCTGTCTTTTGTTCAAATGGATACTTCTCCTCAGTGGCCACAGGTAAAAATTTAACTTTACTATGTTTTAATTCCACTCTATCATCATATTCATTAATTTTTCAATCTAGGGTTTTTACAATTTTTTTTCTAGCCTAATATAATTTACTATATAGTTGTCAATTATCATACATACTTTTTTTTTTCCATCTTTCAATAAAGTTGCCCCGAAAGACAGTTTCATTTGTTTTTTACTTAACTGTAAAATGGTGTTTTAATTTTATGTGAAAGGGTATTGGAATAGTAAAAGGTGTTGATGAAGCAAAGTTGGATCAAAGGAAACCGAGGCCACAAAAGGAGCAAGCGGTAAATTGCCCAAGATGCAATTCAACAAACACGAAATTCTGTTACTATAACAATTACAGTCTCACTCAACCCAGATATTTCTGCAAAACGTGTAGAAGGTACTGGACTGAAGGGGGCTCTTTAAGGAATGTTCCAGTAGGAGGCGGTTCCAGAAAGAACAAAAGATCTAACAGTATTAGTATCTCGTCTTCTTCAACTACGTCATCACTATCATTATCATCGTCGTCCAAGAAATTATTTACAGATCTGGCGAACCCTAACGATCTCAATTTAACCTATAACCCAATACCCAGTGGTGGTACTACTACTACTACTGCGACCAATTTCAGTAACTTTTCTGATTTCATGGCGTTACCTTTGCTCCATCCATCAGCTAATTCAGCTTCTACATTCATGACGAGTAGTAATTTGTATCCGTCATCAACTACTGGGATTTCGAATTTACATGATTTGAAGAGTAGTAATGGTATCAATTTTTCTTTGGATGGATTTGAAAATGGGTATGGAAGTTTACCTTCTCATCAAGAGGCAAAATTGTTTTTTCCTATGGATGATTTGAAGATTAATGTTTCAACGGTTGGTGATGAACAGTTTGAAGAAAATAGAGGCCAAGCAGCAGATCAATCTAATGGGTTTTGGAATGGGATGTTGGGTGGAGGAGGTACATCCTGGTAAAAAAAAATAATGAAGAATTATAAAGGTGTTGTTATTTTAATTTTAATTTTGTGCTTTTAAAAAAAAAAAGAAGGTGATTTTCACTGAGTGACATATTTAGTTGGTTTAATTTCCAGTATTATCAGAAATACTAGTATTTACTACTACTAACAGATAGGATATATTTATATAATATATGTTTTGTGTTATTTTTCCCCTTTTTAACTCTTCATTTGTTTGTGCTTATATGAAACTTTTAATTCTCTTTCATTTGCATAACTTTGACTTGTGTCTTGTGTTTGTAAAAGCTTGATATTCCCTTTTAGTTTCTCGAGTTCATACAGTTACCATTGTCTATATTAAAAAAATAAATACACCTCCAATATGTTTTTAACTTTTATATTAGGCAACAATGAGATTTGAACTCATAGCTCTACTATTACGTTGAATTGCGGAGGTAAAAGTTTAAGATTTGAAATTTATAGATTCGTCATAATAAATTCAAAGCTAATGTACTGTGAAAATAGGAAGTAGTTAAATAATTATAGATAGTTTAGTAAATTCTCAAAATATAAAAAATACATGTTGCAAAAGTATTGAGTTTATGAGAATAGGTGATTTTCATTATAGATTTGCCCTATGTTAAAAGTATGTGAATATCTTTATAAAATGTGTGTGCTTAGAAGCGATAGATAAAAGACATTTAAGGATATTGTTTAAGATTAATTGTCTTACTTTCTACGTGAAATAGTTAATCCCATCATTTTAGGGCTATGTTATTACGAAAGAAAATAATCTTTGCATTTTTATTTGAGGGGATCGTAGAATCTTATCAAACGATTATGTAATGTTGTCAAAAACTTGTCATCCAACCACTCTTCCACGGTCTAGCATGCTTTACTTTTGAGTTTGTGGACAGGTCACATATTACTAATGTTACTTCTTCCCAACACTATAATCTTTACTTTAATTTGTATATCACAATATTCCGAATTTTTAACCAAACTAAGTCATTATATAAAACAATTTATCAAAGTAATATATTTTTCTAAAATTTTACAAAACTAGTATAAACGTATTTCACGGTAACGTTTTAGGGTATATTTAATTTTTTAAAAACTAACAACATTAGGTTGATATACGTTACTGTAAGTAACGTTTTACTCCTAAAACGTTATTTTCAGTAACGTTTTACTCCTAAAACGTTACTCACAGTAACGTTTTAGGAGTAAAACGTTACTGTGAGTAACATATATTAATCTGACGCCATCAACTTTTAAAAAATAAAATATATTCTAAAACGCTACTGTGGAATACGTTTATATTAGTTTTGTAAAATTTTAGAAAAATATATTATTTTAATGAATGACTTTATATAATGACTTATTTTGGTTAAAACATTCCAATCACCTTTTATTCATGTTTCATTAAAAGTAGGATATTCTATTTCTAAGGATAGCAACCACCTATTTGCTAGCTAGGTAACACATGAGAACATACTTTTATCACATGCTAAAACACTTTTTAGATAATTAAGTTTTACTTTAAAAGAAAAATGAACTAGTTTGACATATAGAAATTTTTTTGCAATCCATTGAGTAGATGGAATGATGGCATATGTTTCTATGAATGATGTGTTTGAGCTGTATACCTTTACTTTTTGTTTCACTCAATTATCTTTGTCACTATATTATATAACACCATGCACCTAAAAAAAAATAATGTTCGTCATAAAATAACACAAAGGGGTTGAGTGTATTGCATAATTTTTGTATGGGACCTACTCAAAAACATTCTCCTTGGTAACAATGTCAGAAAATAAATTACTAATTGTAGTCAATTATGTTCAACAACAACAAAAAAAGGCCTATGTTTCTGGATTATAGTGGGGTGTTATTGGATATGCACATTTTTTTTTATCATATTTATTTGTAATGTTTGGTGTGGTGCACCTGCTGACATCTACTCCATAATTTTCTGGAATGTTCGTTTCTGTCAAATTTATTCTGGGAAAGTGAGATATTCAGAATTAAATTTAGACTTGTTAGGTTGAAAATGTATAAATTTGTGCTTATTCTAACTTTAACTTAAAAAGATTTCACCTTTTTATCTCATTGACTATAAGTAATATCATCGTATCGAAAAATTTTAATATCTACTGTATAAACTTTTATGTTAGTGATAACGGTTCGATTCTCCTTCTCCTATTACTAATTTCTTTCCTAAGGTTTTCAAAAAATAATGTTACTGTTATTTTATATTTGATAAGTCTATAGTTTTGAAATTTATCACAATTTATTTAAATTTACAAAGATTCAAAAATGTTTTTCACCTTCTTAAAATTCAGGGGCGGAGCTAGGTGGGGGTTTATGGGTAGGGGTGGGCATTCGGTATTTCGGTTCGGTTTCATTTTTTTAATTTTTTCGATTCTTGTAAATTGTGTACCGAATATCGAACCGAAATATTTCGCTTCAATTCAATTTTTGTTATTTCGGTTCGGTTTTTATTAATTCAGTTCAATTTTTTTATTTCGGTTTTTATTAATTGTGTATCGAATACCTGACTAGGCTGGCCGCCGAACGCCGGTCGCCGGTTGAAGACTTGAAGTCGCCGTAAACAACAGCTGCTGCTGCTGCTACCTGAAAGAGGAAGAGGAAGAAGAGGAAGAGCTGCTGCCTGCAAGAGGAAGAGGAGGTTGCAAGATGAATATTAAAAATTAAATTAGGAATAGAGACATTACATAGGGTTTCACATTCTTTTTTTAAAAAAGATTATTTAACATTAATAATTATTAATTAATATAATATAATATAAATTATAGTATAATATTTCGGTTTAAACTGAAATATCGAAAATCAAAATAACACATATCGAAAACCGAATCAAAATACCGAAAAATATAAAAAAGTAAACCAAAAATCAAAATATCGAAACAGAAATTCTAAAAAAATTTAGTTCGATTAGGTGTTTCGATTTTTCGATATTTATACCCATTCCCATTTACGGGTTCAAACGAATTTAGTAATTTTTTGTATATCCTATATTTATATCAAAAAAATGAAAATGACACTTAATAAACTAATTGACAATTCATTTGTAAGAAAGGAGAAAGAAAATTTAAAACCTCCAAACTCTTAATATCCTCTGCTTAAACTTGGTGTCACTTAAAATTAGTACACATAATTAAATTAAACGGAGGGAATTATTATTAATATCATAGTACATAAGTGGTGCTTGATTAATATGCTTGTGATTGTTATTCTTTGCATGTGACTACTTTTTCCTCTACTAATTTACATATAGAAAAAAGAGGGTATAGTGTACTATACATTATATGACACTCGTAAATATGTACCATTTTTGTTGTGTTAGGACAAGAGTGTCGTTTTCTTCAAATCTAACGTTAGATATCTTTGTCAGTCACTTATATAGTTACGTGCAAGAAATCGATGTTTTTGGCGTCTTGCTTACAAATTAATCTACATGAAATCAAGTCAAAATCACATTAAACTAAACAACTAGAAAATACAAAATCAGCTATAGAATTTAATTTATCCGTAATTCAGCTAAATAATTCATAGTTCAATTGTTCCTAGCTAATTAAATTTTCTTATGATCGGTCATTAGATTAGCATGAAATTTTTATTGTTTAGCCATGTAATTTTGTGCGTTATTGATATTTAGTGATGAAGATAGGTTACGTACGTTTGGTTCAATCATTTTTGGTACGTACGTAGCTTCAGTTATTTATCAAAATGAATAAATATATATACCATATGGTATGGTTTTTTCTGCATATCTTGTTTGTTGATATAATAGTCAATTTTTTATTTTTTTTTTTGCATAAATACACAAAAAATTAAGGAACAAAATGTTGTTGCAAATTGGAGTAGCTAAATATGCATGTCCAAAGTGGTAACATAAGAAATAACGTGTGAACAAAAAATTATGACCGGCAATTTTGTCGGTTAGCTGAAGTACTGTCGTATCACATGAAAAGGAAGATAAAAAGAAGAATTTAAGTATGCACCTTAATAAGGTTAAAAGTGAGTAGTTCGATTGGATAAAATGTCTTGTTGGGCTATCACATAAGGCACGCGGAAGCTTATATTTTGTAAATTATATAGTTGAAAAATTAGATAAGAAAAATTTATATTAATAAAAAAAATATTATTATATTAAAATTATAACAAAGAAAAACATTAAAAGTGCAAAGAAATAAATCTCCATATAAATGAAAGTCTCTATACGACTATATTGTGGATATTCTTGTGTTCTTGATATTAGAAGAGATGTCTTCTTCGAATTATAAATTTTTAAGTTTCTCCTCTGAGAAAGGAATAAATCAAATACAAAATAATATTATATTTTCCTTAAAAAAAAATGTTTTCTTTTTTTATTTTAGGAAAAAATAAACTTCAAATAAAATAAAAAAATCAAGACAAAACTCTATCACATCTCGTGTTTATGTAGAGTTTAGAAAAGAGTTACCTCAAAAGATGTAATTAACTACACATATTACTAATTTCGTCCGGAATAGTTTGTCATACTGCGCTTATCGAAAGTCAATTTGACTAATTTTCAAAGGTAAATTGGATCATATTAATTTGATATTTTAAACAAAAAAATTAGATATTCTAAAACTATATGAAAAGTACTATAAATTACTATTTTTTGCATATTAATATGATGAAAAAGTACATCTTAAAATGTTAGTCAGAATTTTTATATTGACTCTAAAAATAGAATTCATGACAAATAATACCAGACGAATGGAGTAGTATTTTATTTTATAGTTCAATTCTTAATTTATAAATTATGGAGAGAAATTTTTTATTATTAAACAAGACTCTCTTTATCTAATAATTTTGGTTAGATTACATAGGTATCAAGTTGCTTAAACCATAAGCCATATTATGAGAGTATTGAAGATCGAAAATGATGAAGGTGAGGTACGAGAATTAATTTAAATTCATATCAGGATATATAAGTACATAAGTCATAAAACATGTAATGAAATTGAACGAACAGAAAAGAAAAATAGACTTACTATATGGTGTTTACTTACCTACAAAAAAACATTTGTTAAAGTCGTAATGAGAGTTCTATGGAGATGTTTCACACTAGGTAGCTTTCATTCTACTGCAAATAGATAGATTTTCCCAGTCAATTCAGAGACAACGGAGCTTAAAGGTTTTAATCAATTTTGTTTGAAAATTCATATATTAATATACATATATTTATTAAATTTATAAAAAACTAACGAATTTATCTAAACTCATAAATCTCTATCTAGCTCCGCCTCTGCGAGTCATGTACTTATGCACCTCTATTGGCATGGTGGGAATAAAAGGTGATGAGTGATTCTATTATCATTATACAAGGGAGAGTCACATCTCAAAAGTTGGTCATTAAAATGATAAAATCAAGGCTATACAAACTCCATATAATTAAGCATTTTGTTTTACCTTATAATATGATTATAATATTTTATATGAAAAAGTTTCAAACCATAATATGTTTTTTTTTTCTTTCGTGTTTTAGCTGAGGGTAATTTTATCAAGATTTTATCTTTGAATAAAAAAATACCATTTCCAAATACTTCACAAACTTCTATCATTTTTATTCAATAAGCTCAAAAAGGGTTTTTCTCACCTAACCGTCCTTACTTTGCCTTATAATATAAAAGATAATTTCTTTATATTCAAATAGGAATAAGGCTATTTTTTTTAAAAAAAATTTACTTCTAAAGTTTTAGTGAGTATATTAATTACTATTATTCCTTTCTTTCAAATAATAATTGTTGTTCATTATGCTATTTTAAAATGTTCAACAATATTTTTTCATTTTACACTATTTATAATTTATTTTTATTATTAATTATAATCATTTCTCTATTATATTTGAATTACTATACTTATTATTTTAAAGAAACTAATCGAGTAATATATTTGACCATAATTGCTTGTTGCATAAGAAAGTGCACAAATACCCATTATTGGTATGCCCTAAATTTATACGTAACTTTTATTTTGTAATATTTCACATCTCTGTAGTTTTAAATTTGTTTTATCAAATTGCCCCGCTTCACATTATGCTCGAAATGGTACCCATTGCTCAGCCACTACCATTACAGCCACCCAATGATTCCTTTAATTTCAGAGCTTCTAAGCTTTCCTTTAACAAATCAAACTTACCCCGGCGACGGGATTTTCCACCGCCCATTTCGACGGAGCAGGCTAACTTCTCTCCGTTGGACGACGACTTTGTAAGTTCAAGCAGCTTTGCTTCAGTTCTTGATTCCTGCAAATGCCCTAACCTGGGTAAACAAGTCCACGCACAAGCACTCAAAAATGGGTTTCATGGGCACGAGTTTGTTGAGACGAAATTGCTTCAGATGTATGGAAAATGTGGTTGTTTTGATGATGCAGTCCAACTGTTTGATAAAATGCTTGAAAGAAATTTGTATTCATGGAACGCTGTTATTAATGTCTATTTAAGTAATGGGCTTTCCAAGGAAGCTTTTGAGTGTTTTAGGCAGGTGCGGTTTGAGGAGTTGGAGTTGGAGTTTTTCTTGTTTCCGGTGGTCTTGAAGATTTGTTGTGGTTATGGTGGGGTTGAATTGGGAAAGCAGTTACATGGTACAGTGATAAAGTATGGATTTGCATCCAATGTTTATGTGGGCAATGCTTTGATTGATATGTATGGGAAATGTGGGAGTTTGGATAACGCAAAAGAGGTTTTGAACAAAATGTCCAAGAGGGATTGTGTTTCTTGGAATTCAGTTATTACTGCTTTCGCTGCCAATGGAATGTTAAGTGAAGCTCTTCAAGTTTTTAATAAGATGTCTGCTGAGGACCATTTTACTCCAAATTTTATTTCTTGGAGTGCTTTGGTTGGTGGATTTTCACAGAATGGATACGACGAAGAGGCCATTGAATATCTCTACAGAATGCAAGTTGCTGGATTCCAGCCAAATGCCCAGACATTGGCGAGTGTGCTTCCTGCTTGTGGTAGATTACAAATGCTACATTTGGGAAAAGAAATTCATGGATATCTCACCAGAAATGAATTGATGTCGAACTCTTTTGTTGTTAATGGCTTAATTGATGTTTATAGGAGGTGTGGGGATATGGAGAGTGCCCTCCTAATATTTTCAATGTATTCGATGAAGAATGATGTCTCTTACAACACTATGTTAGTGGGATACTTTGAGAATGGAGAGATTTCAAAGGCTCAAGAGCTGTTTTATCAGATGGAACATGAAGGGAAGTGTGAGGATATAATTTCATGGAATTCAATGATTTCAGGTTATGTAAACAACTTTATGTTCAATGAAGCTTTGAATATGTTTCAGAAGGTAATGCAGAAGGAAGAATTTGAAGCAGATTCGTTCACTCTTGGCAGTGCCCTTGCTGCTTGTGCTGATATGGGGTTGTTACGACGTGGGAAGGAGATACATTCCTATGCAATTGGTAGGGGTCTGCAAACCGATCCTTTTGTTGGTGGGGCACTTGTAGAATTGTATAGCAAGTGTCTGGATGTTGGTGCTGCTCAGAAAGCTTTTGATGAGGTAGATGAGAGGGATATACCAACATGGAACGCTTTGATATCTGGCTATGCTCGCTCTAACGACATGGTTAGTGTTGAATCCACTCTTGAGAAGATGAAGGCTGATGGATTTGATCCTAATATCTACACTTGGAACAGTATTATTGCTGGCCATGTTGAGAACGCCCATAATGAGTCAGCTCTGCAGTTGTTTTTGGACATGCAATCCTCAGGTTTGAGACCTGATATATACACGATTGGAACGATATTACCTGCCTGCTCAAGGTTAGCGACTCTTGACCGAGGAAAACAGATTCATGCTTATGCAATTAGGTTTGGATATGACTCAAACACTTACATAGGATCAGCTGTTGTGGACATGTATGCAAAATGTGGATGTGTCAAGCATGCTAGACTGGCTTATGATAACATTAAAAAGTATAACTTGGTCACGGAGAATGCAATGCTTACTGCATACGCTATGCATGGACATGGGGAGGAAGGAATTGTGTTCTTTCGAAGAATACTAGACAATGGATTCATACCAGACGACATAACCTTCTTGTCAGCTCTTTCTTCATGTGTCCATGCAGGACTAGTAGAGACTGGGCTTGAATTCTTCAATCTGATGAGATCTTATAATGTGAAACCAACATTAAAACACTACACATGCATGGTTGACCTTTTAAGTCGGACAGGTAAGATAAATGAAGCATTGAAGGTTGTTAATGAGATGACATTGGATCCTGATACAGTGATCTGGGGTGCCTTGCTTGGGGGCTGCACTATCCATGGGAATCTTGAGGTAGGTGAAATTGCGGCAAACAAGCTTATCAAGCTAGAACCCGGAAACACAGGCAACCATGTCATGCTAGCAAATTTATATGCTTCTGTAGGCAGATGGGGTGATCTTGCCAAAATAAGACAACTCATCAATGAGAGGAAAATGCACAAAAATCCTGGATGTAGTTGGCTTGAAGATAAAGGTGAAATACACGTATTTGTAGCTTGTGATACATCCCATCAAAAAACAGATGAGATTTATGAAATGTTAAATATATTGACATCACAAATAAGAGCAGAAAACTAGAGAGCATTGTACTTTTGTATAGAACAAACAATTCACAATTATTCACATTGTGGTATTGTAATGTCACCAGAATTAACTTATCTTCCTATTGTAGCTTCTGGATAGCCTAGTGGTCGATCCTTGTTGCAAGGATATGCCTCCAAGTGAAATTACCACCTCTCTGAGGCTTCTGGACATCACACAAAGACAAAAATTGCTGAAACTTTACGGTCAATAAAGATCTATTGACTCCATTACTCTACGGGCTTGAATTTGCAAAGCTGTCAATCTCTGTTCTGGATCAAGGGTTGAACCAAATTGACTAGCTGCCCATATCAATGATGCAGATTTCTCACCTAGAAATCGCCTTAGGTCTTCATGAATTGTTGCCATGGGAGACCTCTCCCTCCCATTTACATGTCCAATGAGAAGCAGTAGAAACTCTCCACACTTGAGCCTGGGGAAATTAATAATTCTCAGAACAATTCAAGCAGAGTTGCTAAGCAAATTCAAGCTTTCATGTCACAGTTTTGCTTTTCTTTTGTTTACCTTTTTCTTTTCCTAGATTGAAATGACACTATCACACTCCCCTAGGTATCAGCCATACACCACCAAAATATTTTCTAAGCCACCCGAGAGACAGCGGAGGGAGTACCAGTTCCAACTTCCACGAGGAAAAAAGGAAAGGGTGGAAACACTAGAACTAGCATGCAGTATGATCTTGATGGAAAAGAAAGTCAATATAATTAGAACGGCATGAACATTGCAAGAGATTTTACATCGTAATTAAAAAGAAACGAGCTTAAAGAGATGAAATACCTCAATTTTTCATCTACTTGTTTGTCTCTAATGAGTATGGCAACTTCCTCAATGCCATTGCAAGCCTCAAAATCCTAGTACATCACCAGCCAGTGGATTAAATAATGGGCTTAATTACTAAATAAACAAAGTACAGATCATCTGAGGAGTAAACTGAATATAGAAAGCATCTCATACCAAACTCTTTTCAAATATGGAACTGCATAAATCTTGAATTGAAGCTACTTTAAAACTACAAGTACTTTTATCTTGTTCAGTTAAATGAGGAAAAATATCCAGATGTGGCCACATAGTAAACACTTTTTTTGGATGATCTCCTCGATGCTAACTGAATATAGAAAGCATCTCATACCAAACTCTTTTCAAATGAGTATTACAGGTAAGAAGAACTGGTTCTAGGCCACTTCTGTCAATAGTAAGTCAAAAGAAAAGATATCTACCGCCTGATTGGCAGATGAATCCAGCATGATAGCAATAAAAGCATCCAAGCATGCTCCTTGTCCCAGTACCCCTCGAGTCGACAGTATGTTCATCAACACCTGCTTATTTCCAACCAAGTTAAACATGCCATCATTTTGAAGTGCTTATATTCATGAAAGCGTAAATTTGAGGGCATAAATGATCTCCAAAGGTAATTTGTTAACAAAAAGAGAGAGAGAGAAGAGAGAAAAGCTAAGCTTCTTTACCAACTACCAAAGGTAGCAGCAAAAATGCCATGGAACAGATAATTTCAGAATCATTTGAAGGCAATTATAGTTTCCAGCTAAGTGAGAGCCATGATTAGAGAAGAAAAAAGGCATCAGATCAAATTCTGGTGAGAAGATAAGATGTATAGGGGAACTTTACCGGGATTGCCTTGTACTGATGGGCCAAAACATTACTCTCGCAATGAATCAGACAACAACCTTCCAGAACTCTAAGCGCTAGAGAAACTTCAGAATCAGTTGACGGGCTGGTTATTTCCATAGGTTCCACAGTAAATATGTGGTCTAGACTGGTAACATTCTGGTCCTCTGTATCTCTCAAGGAATGTCTGAAAAGAACTGGAACCACTGTTGCATAGCTCACAGTTAATAGCCTGATCCATTTTCTAAATTAAGCAAAACAATCTTGAAACCAGAAGATTTTCTTATGTAAATTTCAACCATTCAACAGAAACTAGAAGGTTTCACCCCAGAAAATTACAGAATAAGCATCAATGAGAATATAAGTTTATATGACCGGAATAGGTGTCACTGTCCCTAAAATTCCAAGATAATTAGTAGTTTACTGCATTTCACTGCTGTTCTAGCTTAATCTGTATCCAGCATCCTTATCGAATCTGAACAAGTCAAAAACAACATTGTTTGACTTGTTTTAAATGGAATGGAACAGTAATTAACAGGCTTCCCTTACATGCAAATACCAAGTTATCTTTTACTACTTACACCTGAACTCTCATCAATACTAAAAAAGCATTCCAACTCGAGAAGAAACCAAATATTTGTTTGTAATTGTGCCTATAATCTTTAACGAACGACTTTAATACCTTTTGAAAGCTTCAGAGTAGATTCAAAATATTGTAGTAAGATCAAGAAATGAAGCTCAGATTTCATGACATAACACCTAACTGAGCCCGTCCGTGAAGCCAAAACCAATTCCATAAGAGTTCATCTGAGGTATAAATGAATTTAAACAAGAAAAACTTCTTTTTTCCTTAACTCCTTGCAGCAAAGTTGTCACAAAATGAACCTCAATCACATATTCCCAATTTCCCATTAGTGTCATTATCAGGATTTCCACATTCACATCTATATAACCAACTTCTCTATCAATTTTTTGGTTAACCAACCGGAGGGATATAAGTAACATTCAATTATATATTCATAAATTGCTGCAATTGAAACATAAATTAAACGAAAAATCATTGAACATCGAAACCCTAGGGTGCAGAGAATGGAGGAAAACCTTGAAGATCGGGAATGGATTGGCTGTGACAGAAGATGTTGATGGTAGTATCTGACTCGGCAACGGATCGGAGGAACTTGAGGATGACGCGGAGGCCGCGAATACGGAGGAAGGAGAACTCAGCACGTGCATCATTGAGTCCTGTGCGGAGTGCGAGTGTCACCTCCCTGTATAGTCTCTGTCGTTCAAGAGAGCTTATTAGCTCCGCCACCGCCGACGGAGATTCCGTCTGAGATTCAGAGTTCGAATCTTTGCTCCAAAACGGAGCTTTTAGATACATTTCTTCGCTCCGGTGTCTTCACCGCTCTTTACAGCTCGGCGTTAAAAGGAGAAACTGAAATTTCGTCTCTTTTCTCGTTTTTTCCCCTTTCCTTTAGACCAAAAAAAAAAAACCTTTTCCTTTTTCTTTTTTTTCCCCCTCTTTTTTGTGATATTACACTAATCATTTAATTAGAAGTTTTGAAATAGAATTAACTTTGATGAGAAGAAAATAAAACCCAGAATATTTGTTTTCATTTATAATAAGTGATTTTATAATTCCTTTGAGTATTACTAGAGTAAAACAAATTCGATTGGATACATGGTAAAATAATTTAAATAATTTGTTGGGAGTGCATATTGGGTAAACAATATTTTAAAAAAGAATTTATTTAACATAATGAGTTCATGATAATTTTGTGAACACCAAATAATTTAGGTAAATACTTGCAAAATGGTGATGATTTGGGAGAAAACAAGAGCTGAACGCTTGTAAATAATTTTCTTTTTTTGGGTGCAAACGTGCTTATAAATAATTTTTTTTTTTTTGGATACAAGTGTTTTTTTCGCTAATATAAATGTTATATAGATCTAAATAATAATATTTTTATTTCTTCTATTTACCATAATTTAAGTAAAATTAATATAAAGTAAAAACTATTAATTTTAAAGTAATAAATGTTTAGGACTTGTATATAGTTCAAATAAGGAAATATTTTTAAAAAGTAATAGGACTTCTAATATAGTTAATATTTAAAAAGTAAAATATGGTGCCTCCAATCACTTAAAAAAAGGGGTTAAATTTATTTCCATAACTCTTCAAATTTCCTTACCTAAATAATAGTTCAAGAATCGAATTAGTAAATAAATGGAAACAAAATCCATATATATAGAATCCAGCAAGTTTTCAATGGAAACTAAATCCTACATTAATGAATGAAGCCTTTCCCTTCCCCTTGAACAAGGTTTTCAATGGCTGAAAACGAAAATGATTGGGATTTATGGGCAGTTGTGAGAAGTTGCGGCAAGAGGAACAACTCTGTTCATGATGATATGAACGTTAATAATACCTCTGTTCTTGAGGATCCTACTCATGTTACTGATCGTGTTGGTGATTTTACCGGCTTGGAACACAGGCATTACTTTGGGTTAGATGAAATTATTAGTCTTTCCAATAACCTGAATACCACCAATTCAAAAATTGAAAACCAAACTGAAACTATTCCAAACACACCACTGGTGGTTGTAGAACATGAGGAGAAGAAGAAGAAGAAGGTGAGATTCTCGATGCAAATTTCAAGTACTGAGGCAGGCAATACGTTTAGTTACCGCGGGAAGAGCACTGAAAGATATGAAATATTAGCGGAGAAATTGAGTGAGGCAGATCAATGGAGATGGAGAAAGTATGGGATGAAGCGAACTGGTGATTCGACTTTTCTCAAGAGCTACTATAGGTGTAATGAAGCTAACGATTGTCCGGCAAGGAGACATATTCAGAAAAGCTCAACAGATCCAAACAAGGTGATTGTAACTTACAGAGGCCAACATAATCACCCTCACATTGCAATGGTACACGGGAGTCCTAATGCTGCTGCGCCACTGGAAGAACCATCTTTTCCCTCTTCTACCTAACAAGCCAGTTTTTTACAAGAGATTTTTTTTTCTAACTAGACTACTGCATCTTGAATTAGTCGCTGTTGAAACTGACATAGGATCTTCTGTTTGAATTTCTAGTGTTATTCTTTTTAATATAGTAATCAAGCTTTTCCCTTTTCATTTTCAAGAATCACTAGTATTTCCTTTGTTCCTAGAAGCAGCAAGAACGGAACCTAATGATCAGTTAAACAAATATTCAGCTGAAACAACTTTGCAATATGAGTAATAGCGAGGCAACCTTTTTGTGTTGTTATAGGTTTCGTTGATGCACAGCTATATGATTTAGGACATCTTTTCTTCTTAAGGAGTGACAAGTTTGTCGTATCATTGTTCACCAATTTTATTTGGTAGATAGATAGGAAGAGATGACTGAAGAAGGTTGACAAACATAATGAGAAAACTTGTAGTGCAATGAGCCATACGTAAATTCGACCTGTTATTGAATCCAAGGCCACACCCTCTACCTTATTGCCTTGAATTCCTCATGCTTAAAGCACTCTTAAAGGGCTCCCGGCTTGAACATAAGGATGCACTCCGTACTACAGGCCCACCCTCTCATCCTCTACAACTAACCTGTTCACCCGAGTTCTATGGACACTGCAGCTGGAGCCAACTAGTCTATCTTGGATCTACAAAACTTAAGGGAGAATGATTTGGGAACATTGCCGTGGGCCAAAACATTACTCTCACAATGAATCGGACAACAACCATCCAAGTGCTAGAGAAATTTCAGAATCAGTTTCCCATAGGTTCCACGGTAAACATGTGGTTTTAGAGTGGTAACACTCCAGTAATCTGTATCTCTTCTAAAAAGAAGTGGAACACTGTTGCATATCTTGTACTTTAACACTCTGGTCCTCTGTTCTAAATTAAGCAAATGTAATGTCGAAACTCTGAAAGTGGGGAATGGGAACAAGATCAAATCCTGGAAAGAAAGAAAGTCCAGATGTTTTGAAGGCATAGCAAGAAGTTAAACTAAATTGCATTTTGTTGTTATGTTTTTGGTGTAATCAATTATACTCAAAACACATTACTTCTATAGTTGATGTTTTATACTCAATATAGAAATAGAGTAGGGGTGTCTGGAGTGCATTTGTATATAAGGATTGAGTACAATCCATTTACTTTTGTGATATATTACAAAGTTACCAAGTTACAAAAAATGTAATACCGAGCCGAAACTCAATATACATATTTTCAACATCCATGTAAATACCAGTTCAGAATCATGAATATAAGAGCTATACTAATGTAAGTTTCAACCATTCAATAGAAACTGAAATAGTTTACCCCAAAAGTATCATATATTATTATAAGCATGAAGCTCAAAATTTAAAAGTTGAATTACCATTTTGCCCCTCTAATAAATTAAAACTTATATAATTTATATATATATATATATATATATATATATATATATATATATATATATATATATATAATCTTCTTATTCTCATTTCATAATCTTGACCTTTCAAATTTCTAACATAAATGTAAATAAAAAATAAAAATGAGTAATTATCAAGAAATTAAAGTAGATTCATGTATCTTTAAAATTAAATTTCATCTCTATCTTTTTTATATTCATTTTAACAATAATTCAGGTGACTTTTCATGTTTCCATAATTTTGTTCTATAAATTTAACTTTTTCAAGAAACTTTTATTTACCACTCCTACAATTCTTGTATGTAGGAACTCTAAACATGTGAAATAATGTCACAATTTGAGGTGAAAGTTGTGAGGATTTCCTTATGCAGTTACGAGAAATAGATAAGAATTCAATTACTGGAGCATCGGAGATTGATATGTTAGTTTTATACTTATTTGTAGTAAGAATTATAATAAGACTTTTTTTGTCTCTCTTTATATAGTTGAATTCTTGTTTTATTAGCAAGTTGCTCTAAATTCATATTTGTATTTTGTATGATCAAATGTTCAGTTTCACTATAGAGACAAACAAAATGAAATGTCTAATTATCTTGCTCATGTGTACCTTTTTTTTTCTTTTCTCCGTACTTATAATTTTTTACATATACATTAATTTTCATCTTTAAGAATGAATGTGATAAAATAGGATGTTTACTCTTTTCTTTTCTTTTTATGGAAAAAAAAGGTGAAACATATAATATTAGATTAATGATGGATAAGTTATGTATGAAGAGAAAATTAAATTTTATATAAAAATAGTAGTTATTCATAAATATTCTGATTTTCAAAATATAAATAATACGACTTTTTACATCATAGTTTTAAATATTTATAGTTAACTAATTAGTATAAAGTGTTTGTGGATTAAAAATTAATACAATACTTTAAACACATTCATTATAATTATCAGGAGATCCAAAAGGTAAAGTAAAAAAGTTGAAAGGTTTTGTTTTCCTTTCACTCAAAGTTAATCTTACACTATTTCTTCTAACATTATTCTACCAATAAAACGAAACTATCGAGAAATTTAATTTAGATAGTTGTTATTTTTCCTTTTTGCTTTGCAAACTTATTTTTTGAATTATAAACGAAGTTTATTTAATTAATTTCTCTTATTATTATCTCGATGCATTGGAGGTCAGAAAATTGGAGTGTCATAATTAGTAGTAAAACAAAGTAAGAAATCTCAATTAGACATATTTTATTAATTTCTCATATTATTATCTCGATGCATTCACTTGGAGGTCAGAAAATTGGAGTGTCACAATTAGTAGTAAAACAAAGTAAGAAATCTCAATTAGACATATTTTATTATTTAGTAATATTATCTTTTAAGAAATTATAAACTCATGGGTTACACGCGCAAAGCGCGTGCTCAGAAAGTGTGAAACTCCTAACCTCAAAGTTGAATTACCATTTTATCCTTCACTTAAATATTTTTTCTATTTTTTAAGATGTAAAAGTATTTTTAATAAATAATTAGATAATAAACTTTAAAAAAATAAAGATATAATGAAAGATAAATAGTCATTCAAACAAATGAAGTTCAAACATTTCAAAACATCTCTTATTTAATTTTAAGTTAAAGAATTTGAAGAGTTCTATTGATAAAATTATGTACATGATTTTTCCTACAAAATACATTATTTTGATGTCTTCTCATGACAATAGCATGTGAATTGATTTATCTCATAAAATTCTTCTTCAATTTTTTCATGTTTCTTTTGATCAATAAATTTTAGACATATATGTATATAGATAGAACTAATATTACATGTTTTGTTTCATTCTTTTCATCAAAAATTTATGTTTTTAACGCAACAGGTGATAAATAATTCTAGAGAGTTTTTCATTAGGACAAAAAGTTTGCTCAACATTCATGAGGTAAAACAAACCTACTTGTCTAAGAAAGAATATATATGTTGTTTCGTTAATTTATTGATGGTAAATTCTTGGAGAATATAGTATCTGAATTAGAATTTAATTATTTCAGTGCATTCAATGCATTCTTCAAGAAGGTTAAAGGCGTCATGGACATTTATTTGTTGTTTGGTAAGTATTAATTTTCATTTCAATGTTGCATATTTTTACTTAGTTCATTGTTTGTTACATTTAATTTTTCGATTGAAGAAAGATAAATTGACTACTTTTTCTTGAATAATGGCAATGAAAAAGAAAATAAAAATTTTCATTTACATGTCTGATGTACAAATATTCTTATTATGTTTGTTATAACAAGTTGATTATCATGTAGTGAACACTCTAGGTTATTGGATAAGAGAATTGAATAATTCATGTAATTAGCTTTTTCTCATAATTAAATCTACAAAAATTAGCATGCATTATATTTAATGTGTCTTTAGAATTTATAAATGATTTACTACTTGTATGAAAATAAAATCATGGTGTGATTTCATATTTGTAAATAAATACCCCTAATAACGAAAGAAGAGGAAACGTTGAACAAGAAAAATTACTAAATATTTTTATATTCTGCAACTTTATGTTTTTATTGATTAAATTTAAAACTTGTTATTTTATTTATTCTATCTAGAAAAAAAAATATTTGGATAAAAAATCTCATAAATTCTTTATACTCATTTTAAGGAGTATATACTCCTTTTAATTTTTAAACATAAAAAATTATTATTAATAATTTTTATACCCTTTTACTAATTTAAATATTATTAAAGAAATAATTAATAAAATATTACTTAAATAATACTTAAATGGTATTAATCCATTATGTTTCTAGGTAGGATTAATTAAATAAATGTTTAATTTGTTTTTTATTCTAAAATAGAGTTCGGTAGATGAAGTGTTTCGTAACAACAAAAGACAGTAAATTATATCCGAAATTTCCTTTAACATTAAAGAACAAAAATGTCCTTTGAATTACCATACATCTTAATATGGCACATATTTAGATTTTAGTAAGAAACTTTACATATTCCCAGCTTTAAACAATCTAATTCTCATAGACGTTATGTATATCATCAATTTTTAATGAATTTTACAATTCCAAACTTGTATCGATAAATACCAAAAAATTATCTTCAAAATCACTTTATATTAATGCATACACTTAGTTATTTCGATGTATAATTGTTGATGAATGATTATTGGTGGATGTACTTACACTGACACATTGTTCAACACAATTACTTTTTGTTGATGCATACGCTTTGTTATTTTAATGTATAATTATTGATGGATAATTTTTGATGAATGTAATTGTTCATCACATCATATTATATTATAAGTGGGAAGCTCCAAGATGTAAAGTTGAATTACCATTTTATCCCTATACTAAATAAAAATGTTATATTCATATTTGATTATTTTATTTTTAAAAAATATTGAGCAATAGACTTTTTTTACTATTAATGAATTGAGAATATTTGAACAGTTATGAAAATTAAATAATCTAAATGTTAAAGAAAATGAAGAGACAAATTTTAGTTAATGAAAACAAATAGGTAGAGATTTAAGTGACTCATTAACTAAAATATAAAAGCAGTTACCTTTACATTGCTAGAATCTTAAA